TACCATTCTACTAAGAAAAAAAAATAACTTTATAAAAAAAATACATTATCATTCAAATAACCATTTTTCATAATATCCTCTGAAATTTAATTTCTGCATAATTTTTCACTATTCAATTAACAAAGTATAATCTTGTAGTACTAATTAAGTAAAGCAAAGAAAATTCCATTTTTAATGTTATATATTTTTCACTATCTCCATAAAGTTTCTAAGTTAATTACAAGACCTGTTCTCCATGTATTAAAATTAATATAAAACTCCTCTAATGAAATATAAAAAATGTAATGTGTTTCATAAAAAAAAATTGGATTTTTTTTACCAATGTAATCAGCAATCGTTTTACCATCGCTAAAACGACCAGTAGGTTTGCCTCCTTCAAAGTTAGAACCATAAGGTGGAAAATTCGATTTGACTTTGGTCTCAAGATGATTATTGTTTCCTGAATCAACCAATGAATCTCCAATAACATACAAAGCCGGAAATTTCCCGCCAAAAAGCACTGCCTCTTCTTTTAATGGCTTCGTTGAGTTAATGGTGGAAACATTGAGAGAACATACGAAGAGCAAAAGAAAGTATGGCTTTAGAGAAGAAGACAAACCCATTTCTTGTTTTTTTCTTTTCCTGGTTTAGAGAAACAGAAAAACAAAAGAATAAATAATGCAAATACTAAAAGTTAGTTATAAATGATTTGGATAGCATCATACAGCTTTGGACACGTACTAAAACAATAGTTATTGTTAACAAAACTGAAAACTGAAATAGATCTTTCTTATAACCAACAAAGAATCGAACTTTGTATAGAGAAAGAATTTAATTTAAGATATTAGTTTATCTCTATAATATAATTTGGGAAACAATTTTATATGAATAACTATAAAAGTGTTTATTATTACTTAGAAAGCCATTTGAAAATAGACAATTTTAATCAATTCATTAGAGGTAGAATAATTAAACCAGTTTGATCCAAAAAAAAATTAAACCATTTTTTATTCATTTACTCACAAAATATGATATCTTTTAATATTAGTCTTTATTAAACATGTTTTATGTTTCCCTTTTTATCAGAAAAAACTCTTGATCAAAATCTATGTTCAACCCTTTTCAGTTTTTTATAAACATTTTCGATCATCAGAACTCTATTGCTAAATTAAGAACTTGAATTAGTATGACCCTTAAATCAAGATTGTATTTTATAAGAATCTCTTTACTTCACAATCATAACAAGAAACCATATTTTGACGTCAAAAGAAGAAAAAAAAAAAAGACAAAGTAACCACGTGTTTCAAAACGGTGAATGAAATTTAGTGCTGATATTTGCGTGTCTAGCTAGACATTTTTTAAATGCGGTAGTCATACATTGCAGGTTAGCCATTAAATATTTTATACCYTAGTCTAAAGTCAACAATCAAAATAAATTTGAGATATGCACGGAGCTATACAATAAATGTGATTTACCGCTCATCGACTATACACATTAACTTCCCATGTACCTTCAGCTATATTGTTTAAGTTTGATCCTAAAAAGTTCTTTGGGAAATTTACGACTGCTGCACCAAAAGGATCAGGAACTTTACCGTATCGAAGCAGAAGAATCTAATACTGTTTAAGACAAAGTCCTCGAGCAACAAATGAGACCAAAGCACTTGTGTTTGAATTTGAAGCTGCGTGGGGAAATGAGAACATTTAGATGATCATAAAAAATGAATCATGGAAATATCAGTAT